TGGAAAAATATACATTTTAATAAAATTTCTCTAATAAACTAGTAAGTTAAAGAATCTGGATAATCTTAAGAAATAAATTAAAGTGCAGCCAATGATTAGAAATATCACAATTTCAAAGAGAGGAAACAGTGCACAGGTGCAAAAATATGCAAGTTAAAATTTTGCACATCATTTCCTCTGTGACAAAATCAGAGAGATGGAGAAGAATTCATGTCTTTAGCTAAAAGTGCTAGCTTTAACTTCTACAAGCATACGATATGCGGGCAACTAGAATAAACTAAAACAAACTCCCCAGATATTTCATAAAACAGACATAAGGTTTGATACCAGTCATCTGAAAAATAGAATCACACACAGCCATAGGTAAAGCTATCATATAAAGGCAACTCACAAGAACGTGTGAGTTTTTCAAATCCCTGGCCATGATTTTTCTTTTTACACAATCGGTCATTACAAAACCAGTGCTCTTTGACTGGTAAAAGTTTTCTGCCAGACCCCCATCCCATCCATAAATTTTCCTGTTAAGGAAAAACTATAAGCTTATTTTTGGGATGATCTAATTGTGGAAAATTAAACAACAGATGGCAGAACTATTAATTGAAAGCATACAATAGTATCAGAAAGGTACACACTCCAACAATAGCTCCAATAATCAGAGAGTCCCTTCTTTTACGAAGATTAATTCGCTGCAGAAGAGAATTGACGGCTGGAAACCGAGATGACAAGTCGTGCATTCGTGTCTGAATGCGTTTAAAATTTAATCGTTGAGACATCAGATTTTCTCTGGTGTCCATTGCTATGCTGATTTGTTCATCAACAAGACGATCAGAACTGTAAGAGAAAACATAATATTACTAAGCTAGTGATTGTAAACTTAATTTATTGAATAGAGAGCTCACCTTCTGATATGTTCATTTTCCTTCAAATATAAATCCATTCGTCTGTTCAAGCCTGAGGACGATTTGTATGTGCTACAAACAGATACAACTTACTATTTAATAGAGAACCTTAAAATATGAAATCAAATCAGCAACACTAATGCACTTACTCAATATCCTTTCTAACACTCCTTAACAGATCTTCTCTTTCTCTCCTAGCTTGCCAGTTTGCTTTGGTCTTGGAAAATTCTTGCTTATAATCCTGTAGAATTTCTTTATGACGCTGGAGGGTATGAATGAGAGCAGCATTTGATGGGGCACCTGGGCCATCAGGTGCTGAAGCCTCACCCAAGCGATCATTAACAGTAGTTAACTGTAAACAAAATAACATAATGTACCCTGAAGTACGTACAAGAAAAAACAAACAAAATCAACAAGTCAGACAAATACCTGTGCAAGGAGCTGCTCTACATCTAGAGCCATAGTCTCAAAAACATGTTCAGTACTAAGAAGTGGTTCGGTGTCACTGAAAAAATATAAATGAGAAGGAAGTTAATATACAAAAATATGACGGCCAAAAGTAGATAAGTATTGCAGCTAACGATTTCAAGTACTGACCTGTCAGGCTTAATTCCGGTATGACCGGTTCCCAGTTTGCTGAATGATACTAACTTTGAATCAATATCATTTTCAAGTCTTCGAGCTTGTTTGCGCAGTTCTGTAAAGGTGAAATTTTTGATGAGACACGGGATACAGCTTGCATGAAAAAAAAGACAATGTACAAAAACCTTAGAAACCTTTACCTTCCCATCCTTTGGAATAGCCAGAAGATAGGTCTTGCTGCATCATTTCAGTATTGTTAAGGTGTTTTTACTTTCCAATCAAGAATTACCAAAATTCTAGGTGAGTCACACAGAGCCTGCACAACACAACCGCACTATGACAGCTTTGTAATCACTTGCATTACATGGCCAGTAAAACCCCATTGAACATTTGACTCGTGAGTTGTTGCTTTTTATCGCCAAGAAGCGCGTAATGAGATGAAACGTCACAAATATCAGAAGAGTGAAAATCTAGAGTAGACTTCAGAAAATTCATCGGGTTTACATACAGTATCACGGATGACAAAGCTATGAGTAGGATTCGCCGATTTCCATAAAGATTTGCCATTTGCCACGAAGATGAATTTCCTAGTCTCGTTCTTCCATGAGATAGAGCCACAGAAATCAAAGAAAACAAAAGGAAGAACAACATAACTTGAAAATGGCCACAAACACTTCAGCAACTGATATATTCCTATTTTAACTGGGCAAATGTTACCGTTTGTTTCATATTATGAGTGAAATTTCTAAGCCGTGCAATAGTGTCTCCTTTCCTGTTGATGGAAGTATGCTTCACCCTTGTGTACTGCAAGACTTTGAAGTGAAGTGGCACTTACATCGCTGTGTGTGTAGAAACTGTGTCCGCTGCCATGGTTTGACGATCCCATTTAGGATTTCCACGAATTTTTGATACAATGTCAAAGCAGCAGACGAGACGTAAAATTTCTCTAGACTCGCCCTTAAAGCAAGTGCATAGCAATCCGATCAAAGACTCTCCACGTCGTCCAAGTGTCTTCGAGAGGTTAGGAACTAAAGCCATCTCTTCGAATCCCAGCCAATGCCCAGCAAATGTGAAGCCAACGGATAGCTTCTGCAGGCAATGGGAACAGAATGGAACGTGCCAATATGGAAAAAACTGCAAGTGAGTACATCATTTACCTGACATTCTTTCCACATGTCCCTCTGGTGCTCTATTGAGGGAATTTATTCATCTGCAGTCAGGTGTCTTGTGGGTTTTGTACTGGAGTGCAGATGTATGGCTCCATTTGCACTATCTTGGTATTTACTAATTTTACTCATTTTTACATTAAAATTTAACCTCTATTTCATCCATTTCCTATTCATTATGTTTAATTTAGTTTTCATGAAATGTCAGATCGCCTTTGTAACAATATAACGGATATTGTTGAATAGCTCTGAAACTGATTCTTAATATACTCATAACTTGTTAAGCTCCGTATTGTACTTGATTGTACTAAGAAGGTAGCAGCTTATTTGTGTTATTTAAAAGTGAATGCACATGTGTCACTTTACATGGTGTACCTACAGGGTTTCAAATGTTAATGTTGTTCTCCATTACAAATGTTTTACACATGCTGCTTTAATTGTGGGAATTCTGCATGTGCAATTTAATGCTGAATCCTAGAATTTAAACATCATACATGTTTACTACTTAACAACAGTTGAAAGAAGATTGTGGGTTTCTATCATGTATTACATTGTGCCTTATTCTTTTTAAAAGACACTCAGCACATTAGACCAATTCCACTAAAGTCAAGTGGTTTGTTGGATACTTGCAAATGTCATGTAAATCTTTGCTATAGTTCCATCTTTTGTTAGCCTTTACTCACTGCTCTTGCTCTAATTTTGCACTTGGTTATATTGTTGCATTAGCATTCGTGCCACTTAGCAATTGTTAAATTGTTAATCTTATTTTTTATGTGCCTTTGTATGTACAAATGGCTTTTGCAATCAATCATGTTAAAATTGTTCATTATGATGTTTTTAGTTTGAACAACCTAAAAAGTTGCAAAGACTTTTACAGACTTATTCTTGCCATTCAGAAATTGCATGATAGCTAATGATTAATGTCTTAGACGAAATGCAGATAGTAGAAAATATTCCTTTTTCTGGAGATATAGTACTTTCATGATGGTTTGGATGTTTCTTTGATGCAGGTGAGAAAGATTTCTCTCAGATTGCATCCAAAAGGGAAGTGAGCACATCACAGCTAGGGAATGGTGTTACTGGGAACCCCCTGTCTGAGTCAGATAGCAAGTCAGAAACTCAATTTGAGTATAAGAGCGTAAAGGTACATACAAATATTTATGATAGTGTACTTTCAATAGCTGATGCATGTTGGCATTAATTTTTGTCTGGAGTAGACTGTATGTATAATGATTGGCTTGTAAATTTTTGGGTAGTTGAGTTAGCCTCGGTTAGCTTAGTGTTCACATCTTAGCCTCACTAATAGAGAGAAATGTGATTTCATTTTGCATTGTATAAATCTTCAAAAAACAGTTATTGTAAATCAAGCATTATACATTCCATTTCCCTGATCCATGTTTTAGAAGTGGTGTGTGTTCCTTTTTGTTATAGAAAGAGAGTATCATCTGGAAATTTTCATGAGTCCCCGCACCTGTTATTGCTAAATGTCTTCATTTCAGAATTTCCCCTTTCATTTTGTTAGAAACTACTATATTAATGAGAGAACTCTGAACACTTCACTATTTGATCGCCTGACTCATCTGACTCAGGCTCTTGTATTTAACTTAAGACACAAACTAAGTCCCTCTTCTTTCTTTTTTTTAATATTTCATATCAGTTTGTTTTCTTTAGGGATTGAATTCTTTCCTTATATTTTTACGAATACGTATCAGTGTATGATATTGTATGCCCGTAGGTATGTCAGCACTCACGCATTGATCAGTCCCTCAAAACGAGCCGCTATTAAGGATGCCAGCTCAAAGATCAACAATAAGGTGGGTTTTGCCTCAGGTGCAATCCTTTTCCAACTACAATTCCAAAATGGCTTCTGTTTTATTATCCCTATCATTAACATGTCTCATCTTCCAAATCATTACCTTTCATGGCATGAATCCTCCGACTCTTTGACTTGGTTTGGAATGCACATAAGTGAAGCTTAAGAATTTTCAAGTATAAAATTCTTTTAAACAGATTTTTTTCCTGGTTGTATAACATTAAAATGTTGTTTTTGAATGCTTGCATGAACGCGCATGCGCGCGTCTGTGTGTGTATGACCCCAAGATTGGTTGTGTGGATGCATGTATACCATCAGGACACCTCCTGTTAATTGAAATTTGGAACTGGTGTATAACTAAACTTTCCACCATTTTTGTTTGTTAATCTGATGATCAATGTTTCATTCTTATATCCCTTTAAAATTTCCTGTTTCAAAATTATTTTTCAAGTTCTGTATTATAGAAGGAGAAAAAAATCATTATAACACTGGAAATTTTCTTTTAAAGTTTGTAGCAGCACAAATCACAAAGTCTTGTGTGACACTAGCAATTACTTTTTTTGCCTCAGCTGTTTTTTTTTCTGCATTGATAAAGTATCGCCTGTCATTTCATGGCTTTATAGGCTTGTTTCTAATCTATTTTGGGTGGAATGCAGTCTAAGGCTTGCTTTGAGTCAAATTGGAACTTTGGAACTACAGTTCTATCTACTCTTCCTCCTCCCAAAATAATAAGTTTACTTGGTCCTAAAAGACCGGACAAAGTTTGAACTATGGTATATGCCTGTGTTACATCATGTATTTTTCATTTCCTGGAGAACTAACTTGATTAAAAAAAAAAAAAACTTGATTTTACAGTAAAAAATAAGTCAATAGAATCTCTTTTATTTTGTGTATTATTTAAAATTAAATGATAAATTTTGTGACAATAATCTCTAGGGAAACATTCTTTGGAACTCACGCCATTTTAAACAAAGTTTGTACTTGTGTTTCAGAGTTGTAGTAGTTCATCTACCTCTGGTAGTTCAAGCACTGGCAGCGATTCTACATCAAGTGAAGAAACCAGCAGCACTGGAAGTTCTGAATCTGTGGAATCAAGCAGGCACCACCGTCACAAGGCAAAGCATTTAAGTACAAGAAAAGTGAAGAGGTACTCCAGCTCTTCTGATAAAGAGCACATCAAAAGAAATAACATAAGGTAGGGACACTGTTTCTCCCAGTTTGCCCAACTGGTTGTGGTCAAAACATGAGCTGTAGCATTAGGAAAATTAAGTTTGACTCTATTTTTAAGCAAATTAGATGTGTGTTCCAAAATTTACACAAAGTTCTAGTTGCACCAATAGAGTATGCATCCATGAGAACAAGCATTTCTTGATATTTAAAAGTATTGCACTTTTTACAAAACTTTATCTAATTTGTCTAATCTAAAATAATAATTGAATGAATGTACTTAAATAATTTTAAATTTCTATTATAACAGTAACATTACTGTAGTTCATGCCCATCCAGTCATGATAATGAGTGCCGCTATACTATACAAGTTATGGCAAACCCTCTGAATTACTGGACACAATCAGTTTCTAAATTTGTGGTGACGAAAGTAAGATTGTACTGCTAAGTGATGAGTTCTGCATTATTTTGTAATGTTGCTTGTACCATTTTAAAAGCAAAGAGTTTTCTGGATCATGTCTGGTTCACTTTCATGATGTGTTTTACAACTCAACATGTACCAATCAGTTAGGTTAATGTAGTAAAATGGCATGGCACAGTACAGAGAGAGCTGTGAGTCATAGATGAAAGTCTGATTGAATGTTTTCCAAACTTAGTTAAATCATGTGTGCTAGTAAAATGCTATCTTAAAAGTATGTCAGTTGAGTGCCCTGAACAATTTGATCTGAAAGTAATCAAATTTTGTAGTTCACGTTGACTATTTTTGCCTTGTCCTTGCTTACCAAAAGTCAACATTGGAACCAAATTCTTTACGAGCCGTTGATTATGACGGTCCGGTAAGTTTAAAGGTTCTTGGTTTTGTCTTTATGTTGATTGATTTAATTACCAATGTAGTATCAGTTTTTAGTTTAGAAGAATTTTCTTAATTTACTAGTTATTTTGTAGTGCATGATTAGTGCTTCTCTACCCCCCCGCCCTTCCCTTTCCCAGGTTTTTACAGTATGTTAATCACATTGTGTTTTTTTTTTTTCCTTTTGATCAGTAAAAAGAGTATTATGTGCTCTCTTTTTGCTGTTCTTCAATCCCTTAAATTTGTTCTCATTAATCTACCACAAGGGAAAAGAAAGGATAAATTGTGAAGCACTGTCTCATTAGGTAGCCATTTAGTTTTAAGTGTTTTTTAAGGGATGTCCTGTTTATCCACTACTTTTGTATCCAGCACTTTCGACTTTTCTCATAGTCTTAACTAAGCTACCATCCAAACAATATGAAAGTCAAAGCATTATTGAGGTGTATTTCATTTAAGTGGGTGTAAAGACACACTGCCTCAACTTAAAGATTTATGGTTTGTTTTACCTTTGCAGAACTGGAAAAGGGATCAGTCCAAGCAAGAAGAGTGCACACTGCTCATCAGTAGCTAATGTAAGCAATCTACATAGAGAGATGAAGCACTCAAAGAAAAGGCGGTCACGTGACCGATCTGATGGCCATAGCTCTCCAAGAAAAGGTGGTCCAGGTACAACATCAGGCTCCAAAAAATCCTTAAGCCCGCCAGTATTTAGTAGTAATGCCAATATTCATAAAAGAAGATCTCAGTCACCTCTTTTGAAAGGTGGTAAACAGACTGTGTCAACTTCTAAACTTGGTAAGTTTCTTAAATCAGCTAATCAATCTTACAGTGTTATATCTTAATTATAAGTATTCTTATAGATAATTCTTACCTGTACGTTTTAAAATTTCAGGCCTTGGTGGGCGCAATGCTGTAAGTCAACATAATGCTAGATCTCCACCGGGAGGCCTTAAAGATAAGCACAACAGAAGTGTATCACCCCGTTCCAGAGAGAGAGAGAGAAACCGTGAGAAAGAGGAAAAGGAAAGAGAAAGAGATGCTGACAGAGAAAGAGAGAGGGAGAAGGAAAGGGAGAAGGATAGAGAAAAAGACAGAGACCGGGACAAGAGACAGAGAGAAAAAGAAAGGGAACCAGAAAAGCTGCGGGAACGAGAGAAAGAAAGAGACAAAGACAGGAACAGAAGCAGATCCCCCAAACTAAAATTAAAAGATGGTACTTCTCGTTCTCCACGCAAAGAAATTAAGCGAAAGGAATCCCCAGACCACCATAGCAAGTCTAATCGACTGTCTGGTGGCAGTCAGAAAGGTAGAGACGACAACCTAAGTTCGAAGCATAAGGTGTCCCCCAGTGATAATTGGCATAGAGAAAATAGGTAATATATTTTGTCTGTTCCTGATTCATTCACATCTTAAGTTATCTTGATCTTTGAGATCTCTAAAAGATCCTGTCCTTTCTTTCACTTTCAGGAAAGATGACAAAGAAGAAGAACGGAAGAGAGTAGACGATAGACGTCACAAAGAAGATCTACGCAAAGATGTTCGCCCTCTTGAAGATAAAGATCACATGCGTGATCGTGAAAGGTAAAATATCAATTACACTGGTTTTCATGTGTGAAATTTTTATCAACAGTTTAAAGTCTTGTTTAATTTTTCCAGAGAAAGGATGCATGACAGAGAAAGAGAGAAAGACAAATCCAAGACACAACAAGGGATTCCTTCTCTACTCACCCTCAATTTGCAGCACAATCCAAATGACTTTTCTCCTCATGTTGGTGGTGGAGTTAAAGAACGTGGAGCAGAGAGAAACAGAAGTTTAGAAAGGACTGGTCACATAAGAAATCTTAGTATTGACCGAGGCAGGGAGCGTAGTTTAGATCGAATGTCTGAAAGAAGTCGCGGAAGTGAGCGTGACCGGAGATGCCGTAATAACAATGGGGGTCTTGAAAAGGGATTAGATCATAGTGGCCTAGAGAAGGAGCTTGCTAAAGCACTTGCTCGAAATCGTGAGCAGGAACGGACATTTGAAAGAAATGAAAGACTTCAAGAGAGAGTTTTAGATAGAGGACTAGACAGAAATCCAGAGAGAGGTCTGGAAAGAAGCCTTGATAGAGGCTTGGATCGTGGGCTGGAACGAGGCCTTGAGAGGGGCCTTGACAGAGGTCTTGAAAGAGGCCTTGACAGAGGTCATGAAAGTCGTCTGGACAGGAGTCATGAGAGAGGAATTGACAGATGCCTTGACCGGGGTCTAAAAGGTGATAGAGGTCTAGATCGTGGTTCTCCTAGAGTTATGGACCGTGAAAACGAGAGGAGCCTAGAAAGAGGTTTAGACCGTGACCCAGTGCATGGACGGCTTGAACGAGGCGTAGAGCGAAGCCTTGAGAGGCCAGCATTAGAAAGAGGTTCTCCTCGTCTCGATCGCGACCATAGGTTCAGTGAGAGGTCACCTGGCGATCGTTTGTTTGGGGCAGGACACATGGATCACAATAGAGAGCAAGATGAAAAAAGCTTTGACAACTCTTTTGAAGGCAGACGAGGTAAATTACAATTTCAATACAGGCTATACTCATTTTAACTTCTAAGATATCCAACAGTTGAGAACTTCTTGCTTTATTTTTTTCTAGAAAGGGGAAGATTTTCAGACCAAGCACGGTATGATAAGGGTGCACCATCCAATGATGATCGTCGTTTGGGACCTCCTGACATGGCTGTATTCAGTGAAGAAAGAAGGTTAATTTCTATCTATAATTTGTATCAAAATTACCTGCAACTGGCCACAGAATACTTAGACTTTCTATCTCTTACAGACGGGGAAGAGATGGTGGACGGCAAGAGGTCAGAGGTGGACAGTGGGAAGCACGTAATGACCGAAAGCGTGATCACAACCATGAACGAGATCATGGTAGAGAAAGAGATCATGGTCCCCGCGGTTATGATGGAGGCCCTAGGCCCTCAGGACCTAACAATCCAGGAAAGCGCAATGATTGGGAGTGGGAAGGCCGTGGCAGGTACGACCAATCTTACCTTGTAGGTAATAAAAGTTCATCTTCAGCAATTGTTTTCTTTACTTAAAGTATTCCTTTAACAGGCGATCTGGTAAGGATTGGGATGGACCTCACAGAAATGATAATGCTCCACTTGATAAGGAGTGGAATCGGTTTCCACCTAACCAGGGTGATTGGTCTGGAGACAGACGATCTGGTGGATGGAATGATGAATGGCGTCAGCCTGCAAATCAAGCCACCAATCCTGTTGTTCAGCCATTGCTCAATCGTCCTCCTGGGCGCATGCTTCCTTTGAGAGATGACTCTCAAAACAGCACTGCTCTTAAACCTGAAGAACACATTCTTGATGAGAAGTAGGATTTTATTTTTATCTATTTATTGTAATCTATTTTATTTCTGTCATGATTTATAATCTCTTGATATTCTCCTTTACGTTTTAGTTCCAAAGCAAAAGATCAGAGTGGGCCAGCACATGAAGCCAAAAATGAAGTCAAAATTGATGGTGCGGGTGAGAATGGTACCAGATACATTTCTAAATTCTTCTATAAATTTACTTAATAATTATTGTTTATTTTTTTTTGTTTTTTTAATGCAGCTACAGTGTGTGAAAACTCTAACAATCTTCCTTCAAATCATAAGAGAGTTCGTGAAGTTGCTGATGGTGAAGAAACATCAGCAGAAAATAAAAGACTGCTGTTAGAAAAAGATTCTGCTCTTGAAGAAGTTCTTAGTGATATTAGTGATGATGCTGATGAAATTTTGAACAGGGAGGATAGTGTAAGTCAATGGGCCTTCCGTATTTATGCATGTAATTAAGTTAGTGTCAGTAATACGGTTAATTTTTTTTATGTTAACAGGAATTAAACCACACTAATCATGGAGAAACGATTGGTGTTTTAGAAAAGGAAACTCCGCAAGGAAATATACAGTCTTCATTGCCTCCCCAGTCAGGCCCTCATGGGCATGGAAGTGGAAGCCATAGGTCGGTTTTTTAATGGTGCTGTGTTGTGGAAACGTGTGTTGTGTGATGCCTGAGATCTATAACTTCACCTTTCTTTTACTGTTGCAGAAGAACCGTTGATGGTGCAGAAGGTGTTGGAAATCTTGGTTTTGAAGAAATATCTGATGGTGAGCTTGAGGAGGAAGCTAGAGCAAGAGGTTTGAAATCTTTCATTTTAACAAAATTTTCTCTATATTAAGATTTCTCACCATGAAACATATCCTTGCTTTTCGGTGTGTTCTCAGGAATTAGTGATGCACTTGGTGTTGACTGGGCAAGCTTAGTTGCTGAAACGCGACCAAGAGCCAAAATTGATAAAGCTGGAAGCACTCGCCAGCGTTGGGAAGGAGTCAGATTATTGACATATATTGGGGTGTCTGTAGAATATGCTGGTCCGAAATTGGTTAAATACCTATTGAAATCTGCATTTAATCCACCATCAGACCCCAGCATCATGTCCACAGGTAAAACCACATCCATTTCTAAAACATTGTCTTATGTTGCCATTTTGTGTGTTTTGTTCATGTCCACGTTTCTAATTTTTTTCTTTCAGAATCTACATTAATCAAAACTATAAATTTAGAAACAAGTAGAGACTCTAATAAACACTCAAAGGAAAATGAACCCTCTGGCAGTGAAAATCCAAGTTGTCAAGTTACAGGAAAGAGTATGGAGACTTCAGAGCCTACAAAAAAAAGTGACGATGATGTTAATGAAAGTAGGAATAAAAGTGAGATTTATGATAGGCAAATTGATACCAATGATACAATCAAGATAGAAAGCAGCACTATATTGGAAAGTGGATTCAAGTCTGGAACAGAATCAATTTCATTGCAAGCTAGAAAATCAGATCCTTCAGCTGAATCCAAAGGCAAAACAGCAGATAATGTGAAAGAGGGAAAAGTTGAAGATTCCAAAGTTATTAACAATGTTAAGCAAGAAAATAGTGTTGGTGAAAGGACAGGGGAAACGGACCAGATTCTAGGCAATCTATTCTGTGAGAAACTTTTACATCCAGTTGCTGGAATTCATACTGCACTCCTTGAGCGAAGAGCTCGTCGGCAGGCTCTTTTCAATTGTTCTGGGCCTTACAAGCGGGCACTTTCTGCTCGTAGAGATTTATCTATAAGGTATTGACTTTTTTTGCCCATACATGCGTACCTGATATACCACAGTTATGTTGTACCTTTTTGATCGTTCATGTTTTATGATTTCTTTCCAGGCGCCAGCTTTGCAGCTTACCAATGAGGGAAACAACTTGTGATAATGGTCCAGCTGTTGATGAACTGTATCGTCTTAGTTTGCAAATGCTGGAGCGGGCCTCCTAATCACAATTATTTATTTTCATTGAAATGTTAACCCTTATTAATGGAGAACCCTTGTCAGTATCATCTGAAGTCTGACATTCAATTTTATGTGATTAATATGTTTGTTAATACAGCTTAGCTGTGATTTCATTTTTCTATCTTGTTTGGTATTGTCATTTGAATATAATGTTTGTTCTAAAGGTTGTCTTACATTCATTTTGCATCTAGCACAACTATTTTCTCTTCTGGTCTATTTGTGTTTGCAATATACCTTTACTTTATTTATTTCTTATCACATTCAGATCAATCCATTCATTGTCTGCGTTTTTTCTTTCTATCTTTCTTTTTTTTTCTTTTCTTTTAATATGCTAGTTGATTTTTTACATCGAAGTCTGTATGTTAAACCTTGCTAGATTTAAGACCTATGTGTAGTTCAGCCCCCTCTCTCCCTCTTTTGGGGATTTTTTTTTTGTGTATATTCCAAATACATAAACTGCAATTGATATTGTCAGGCTGGTTCCATAATTAAAACTGATCTGTTGTTTCTTTTTTTGGTCAGATTTCTATTTACATATCTATCTTTTGATTCTCCTGTCACTGATACTGCTTGTTAAGCCTAGTCATTAATCAAACTCCACACACATTAGCAGTGGAAACCAGTGCACATTGTATTTGTTTTTAATTACTACAAAAGCAACTTGGACTTGTTCTGGAGGGGTTCCCTTTTCATCAGTCTTGCTTTAATTGACACATATGGAGTTTCTATTTTGTCAATGTGATGCAACAGCCTTTTGGTTTCATGCTTATTGGGACTATTATATTTTCATATTTGTTATGCATTTTGAAAGACTAGATAGATACATAATTTTGAGCTTTGACTATGCTAAGAGATTGTTCTACATTAAAGATGCTCAAAGGGTACTTAGGAAGTATGACAGAACATTGCAATTGGTAAGAAATCAGAAGGGCCTTATTTTATTTTTACAATGAATTTTTCTTTTGTTTTACTGCTTTACACTAGAATCAAGATGTCTTCATATTTTAATATCCATCCTGCTGAATACTATTCATTCATTGCTAGCTCACTGACTTGCATGATTGTATGATGAGCCATGGTCACAAATTAAATTACCTGTATAGGTGTAGTTTTGTTTTGCAATGTTATCCTTCAAAATCCTCTTCTTTTGTTTCACTGACTTGTATGAACAAACATTTTCTGTCTATGTAATTAATTGGATCACATTCTGTGATCTGGTCAGGTAATGTTAAATAATCATTTGTTTGTGTATATATTATTGTACATATGTAAAGTCTATCCCAACTGCCACTTAATGGGACTATCTTATTTACCAATTTGTAAGTTATGTGTTGTCTGTCAAATATAAATTTATTTTGTTTGTAAAAGTTCTGACTTTTTAATCAGCACTCCCAAAGAAAACCTTTAACAATATTACTTGCATAGGTAATGTTTAACTCATTACTCAATTTTAATCACACAATGGAAGTGTAAAGTTAACAATTGCTGAGCTTATTTCCCTTGCGATTACAGGGGCAGTGATGTATCTACAAGTTGGTGCCATCCCTCATGTTTGTGGTCTGGAAACTTGATAGCATCCACCCAGTGTCTCAAACGCTCTCCTTTTGATAGACAACTCAGCTCAAGACCGCCTGGAGACAAACCAATTTGGTGAGTGAATTGCACCTTTTAATCCAATAATTATAGGAAATAGCCTGTCAATTTGAAGGCGTCGTCCATAAATAGAACACATACCTAAATAGTCATTGCTCTTCCCATGATCCTTGTCCCACACAGTTATTACCAAAGTTTTCTGCTGTAATTCAGTCATTTTTGTGTCAAAGACAAATTCTTCATTGTAGAGTGGGTTTAAACTCTGCCACTTAATCCCAGTTTTATACTTTCTATGATGAGGATCAGGTTTTAACTGTCTTCAAAAGAAATTTACCATTAGTTTTAAACTTTCAATTAGACCTAGTTGCATTGTTTCTCAATACTTAATGAAAATACTTACAATTTAACAAATGGATCTGATGAGCCATTGCTATCCATTGGTGTTAAATTCAAACATCTCACTATTCCAACTATCAATGCCCGACGTTTGGTTGAATAACAGAGTGTGACAAGAATTTGACCTCTTGTCCACAAATCCTCTCCCCAAGCAGCCTCTTCATCTTCGACCTGTTCCAATGAGGAATTTATTTTTTCTGTATTTTTAATTTAACTTTAAATTTGTTAAGAATATCTTACCGGATAATGTTTGTCAAGAAATACTTTAAAGTGACGTGCATGTTGAGGTGGTACTCCAGACAATTGTATCCGAGCCTCTCCAAGGAAATCATGGCCATATTTATCATCATCTAATTGAGAAAGTACACATTCACTCCTTAAAGGATCATTTGAATTTTTTACTGCCTATTTCCATGATATGTTGGTCACCTACCTAGTATTAAAACATGAAGAGCTTTTGTTGCCATATCACCATCAGTTATATTGTAAAAGGTTAAAGATTCATTGAACTCAGGGTTACAAGTTTTATGGATAGTTTGTGTTCTCAATCTATTGTTCTGTAACCCATGAAAAAAAATAATTTTTGCAACATGTTTTAGCAACGATTGTCTACAGGGTAATTTTACCACTTATCTGAAGGAATTTTACCTTATTGCCTGCTGGTAGAAGATTCAACTTACAGAAAGGGTCTGCTAGTCCGTTGATATCAGTTGATTTCAGTCCCTGTGAAATAAGAAAGTGATAAGTTGACAGCTCAATTGGTAGTTTTCCTATTTTTACTTGATTAAATATTATATTTCGCACCATAGCTCGTAGAAGACGGCAGTGAAGACATCCAGAATGGCGATCGTATAATAAGGATAGTTCCACACTTCCAAGCTGAGCTGGAAGGAACCCTTTTTAAAATTTATTTTGTCTGTAGTTTATGAAGCATGCCACACACTTGAAAGAAATTAATAACTCACCACTTCCATGGGCACCAAGGAGAGTAGGGATATCATCTGGTTTGGCAGCTGCAATAGTATGCCCACTCACACTTCGGGGCAACCGCAGGCAATCAGAACTGGCACTAGTTTCGTCAGAAGAGAGGAGAGGAGTTTGCCAATCACGCCAGCTAAAATGCAAAATGTTGTATACACCACCAAAAATTAATAAACTTGACCATTAAGGACACCATATTTCAATTTAGAAAGGCAGTAATCATAAATTAATTCAAGAACTACATGGTACAGTATAAAATAATTTTTTAGTTAGTTTTGATAAAGAATAGAAATCAGGATCACATATACTAGTGCATGCAATTCAGTCACTGCTTCCAAAAAGTGCATAGCTAAAAATTTAAAAACAATTAGAAATATTTTTAAAGTTTACTTGAATTGGACAAAAAGTAACAAGAAAACAAAGACTAAGGTAAAGAAAGAGAAACTGAGAAACTAAATTAACCGATGGGATGTTTTAAATTTTTAGTAATGCTGTGACCTGTAGTACTGGGGCTACTTTCCAAATATTTATACTATACATATGGAATAAATATATAGCTAAAATTGGGTTGTGTATGAATGTATGTAATGTATGTCTGTATTGTGTATGCATGTATGTGCAGCTTTTGGCTCAACTATCATATCTGTTTTCAAAACCAAGCCTTTATCAAGAAAAGGACAGCATTCAGTCTTCTCTGTAGTATTTAGAGAGTACTAAACTGAGGCGCCTTTGAACTGACCTGCGAGATAAACCTGGGAGGCGTCGAAAGGAGTAAGTGCGCTGAGAATTGTTGTGCCAAGTATTTGGTGCAGGTGAACTGCGATGGTGTGACTCTTGAGGGCTACCGTGCAGGGTCACGGGTTGACAATGTGTTGGGTAAGAATTTTCGTCAGCAGCCGCATCCACTACACAATCAGTTAAAAGTGTTGCTATTTATCTTTTGGGAGTAGAAAAGTTTTGACGCACATGGGCAACAGGAAAATTACAAAAGAAACAAGAAAGGCATACAATTTTGTAAACAAATAGTGTCTGTGCATTTTAAAACAGAAGGGGAAGCCTGCTCCCTTCCCTACTCATAAAATTTATAAAGTTATGTCATGCAGCTACAGAGGGTAAAGGAAATCTACTCATAGGAAATATTAAAGAAAGTAGTTGAAATCAAAACTAGATCTGTTGAAATTTTGTTGACATCAGAGGCAAAAATAAGTTTAGGTGCAAATCAAAGCTTTGATACATGAATGTGCTTTCACAAGTTTACAGAATAAGATTATGCCTACAGTTAATCTCTTCAATTAGATCATCCTGAAGAACCAAAACTAAGAAAAAGAACCACTCGCACTCAATATAAAATATGGTAACATTTTTTAGAAAGTACTTACCTATATTTAACCCAAAATTATTTCGGTGTGAGTTTTGGGAACTACTTTGAATGGGAGAATCAACCTTGTCAGGCACAGGGAAGGACAAAGTTTTAGTGCTTGTTGCTGTAGTTGTTGGTCCACTTTCTCCTATTGCTGGTGGACTGTGGAAGGTTTTCGTATGACTAGAAATTATTTGGAAACAACTATTTAATAAAGTGATGTTAACTTTTCAGTAAACATTTATAGCTCTCATAATGATATTTTCACAAACCTGGACTTTCTACTAAAACTGTCCCTTCCAAAGGTTGTGTTATTGTTTCCAATTGCTGCTTTCACTGTACTCCCACTCATTGAAGCACTAACACTGCTCTGTGAACTTGTTGCACTTATAGCACTTGCTCCGCTTGCTGCACTCAGACCACTTACTGCACTTGTAGCACTTACTCCACTTGCTGCACTTGCTATACTGGCTCCAGTATTTAGTCTTGACCTACGCATCAGCTCATCTTCAGAGCTGCTATCGTTTTCGGTCTCACCCCCTGCTGCTGCTCAGATAGCAATAAAATTTTTAAAAATAAACTGTCAAAATACTTTTTCTTGTTTTTGTTGGAGGAAAGAGGAGAAAACTAGAAAATACTTGATAATTGCAGGTTAAAAAATTACCATTTGTACCTTGTTTAATCCAATTACTGCTGAAGCTTGTAGAGGGACGTTGTCCTACAGGATTAAGGTGCATGTTCTGTCTGGTTCTAACTGCACTTTTTTCTGGAAGAATGTACTTTGGCAAACCTTTGAAAAACCAAGCACCAGACTTTTTCCACATTTCACGAGTTTCTGAACATATCTTGCAGAGCCAAATTTGTTCTTTCGATGATGAGGAGGAGCATGTCTCAATACTGCATTTTGAGCAAACAAACTAAAGGCAAGCAACAACACACATGTAGAAACAGTATACCTTTATGTGTACTGAATTACTTCAAAGTGTTATATTATACCTTCTGACAATCATGACACAGATAACTTGTTGATCCCAAAAATCCGAACTTTGTACCACATAAAATACACTGATTTGCTCCATTCCCCATAGCATTGCGTTTCATGTTGTCAACTCGGTCCACCAGCCGGCTAGGAAGCAAAGAAACGTGTCAAAATATATTTTTTTTCACCATAGGTATTTGTAAATTTTACTTCGTCATACCCAACTCGTTCTTGCTCAGTGAGATCAATGTGTTCTGCTCTTCTAATTACATCAAGAATCATGGCCTGTTCTGATTCGTCAAGAACAGTTGGTTCCTGAGCCTTAGGAAGAATTTCTAGTGGCTGTGTCTTCACCGACCAGCCAGTCCGTAGTCTGAAATAAGTTATTGGAGTTCATCTTACTGATCTCCAAGCTATCTTAAATTCCATTCTCTTTACAAACTTACTTGGCTCGCAGTGCCAGGTGACGGTCACTTGGGCACACCCAGCGGTGCTTTGTGGTGCCGTCACTGCTATCCATAACTGGTTGACGTTTTTTCTGAAATTATAAGAAAACCAGAAACCTTTACCCCTCAAAAGCAATTTTGAAATACTGTACGCTTAGACTCTACCAAACAATAAGCGTGAGCGAGGATATTAACGCTGCATCTGTAATCGCCAGGGACTCACTTTTGGAGGACGATTGGCACGACGAAAGACTGCCGTTGTCCAGCCAGAACGATCAGAGCGCAGCTGCGCAGCTGTCGGACGCTGCAGTCGTCACAGCTGCAGCGGCGCGCGTCCTCTGCCCTGCGCGTTCTGCTTGGCACCTGCACCTGCGCGCCCACCCTGCTATCTGTCCCCCACACTATCTCTCTCCCCCACCCCCTCCCTCTCTTCCTCTCTCTCTCTCTCTCACTCTCACACACACACAGCTGGGCGCACGCCCGTGATGGCCCCGCGCGACTCGCTCACGCCCGCAGCTCGCTGCTCACTGAAGCTGTTTCGCTCGGCTCGGCTGTCTGCGAGCATAGGCCCTGCTCCGCCGTGCTGGTCGCGCCGTGCCCCGTCCCGCCTGTTGCTAGCAGTTCGCTGCCCCACCCGCCCCC